GGATTTTTTCCAGAACCTTTATAATGGTCTTTAATATTCTCATCTTCATAATTGTTTCCTAAAATGTAATCAAAGAAAATTTTTATAAATTACAAATTACTGAAAATTTACTTTGTAGCTTCAATCCCTATGAACTATGTCTGATTTATACACCACATTCTTCCCTTTCAATATTCCAAAGCACAGAAGAGCACCACTTCCAAGAAATGCTTGTTCCTTAGTATACTAAAGGAAGGGAAGATGATATTCTTACCTATAGCAGTGAGGTTCCTGCAGGTCTCCAGCATCACATCTCTGTAGAGATTCTTCTGAGAAGGATCAAGCATAGCCCACTCTTCCTGGGTGAAGTTCACAGCAACATCCTCAAATGACACAGAATCCTAAACATTCCATAGACTCAACTGATAAGAGGTTCACACAATTCTGTGCTATCCACACGTTTTGTTCAATGACACAGAAGTTCTAATGCAAGCTTTGAGTGGTTCTGAAGGACATTGCTGGAGGGACACTCCTCTCACTGCACACAGGACACAGGATGTGCTGCTGCTCCGCCCCAATTCTCTTTCTACCTGATGTACAGAACAGAGGGCAATTAGCATACAAGAGTCTGCTTGTCCTTAGAAATTCCTGCTCACAATGTTTTTAAGTAGAGACATTATAAGGAAATTGGGCATTTTGTACAGGTTGCAAAAACATAAATGATAAATCACCTCACATAAATGATTCATACAAACTATGGTATGTTATGAATGGTTCTCATTCTGAAAGTGTATTAATCTATTCACATCTTACAGAGATAACTAGAGGATCAGTTCCTGTGCCCTCAAAGAATAAGAGGCGGTGAATGTAATGAGCTTCCCTGGTTGGCACAAATTCACACATGTGGGCACAAATTCACACATGTTGTCACAACTTGTTAAGTGGGGAAAGCAGCCCATTCCATGTGCTTTCAGAAGAAATAATGTACATGCTGCTATAAGTAGTTTGCCCAAGTACAATCAAAAATATATTTTACTTATTTTTATTGTATGTGTATGAGTGGATTCCCTGTATGTTTGTAAGTGCACCTGTGTTGTGTAATACCTTCAGAGGTCAGAGGAGGGCGCTGGATTCCCTGGAACTGGAATTACCAACAAATGTTAGACACCATGTGGGTCCTGGGAATACGGCTCACATCCTCTGCAATAGCAGCCATTGCTCTTTACCACTGAGCCATCTCTCCAGCCTCTCAAACAGAATGTGAACCAAATAACAAATATGGTATAGTTAGTATTTAAATACCCTAAAAATATACTTTTTATCTTTTTAAGTAATGTCAAATGTGAATATATTAAGTACAAAGGAAACACATGCTTCAGAAAGAACTCAATGCAGTCAGTCATGCTGACGTGTGTACAGTCACAGTAGTGAGTGACAGAGAATGAGACAGAAGGTTCACATGGGTGCAGGACTCCAAGTCAGCCTATGCAACCTGGAAAACATCCATCTCAGGAAGAAAAGAGGCAGGGAAAAGGACTGGAATGAGGAACGACAGGAAACGGTCACCAAAATTCATGATTTCATTTTATACTATCAAGACAAAATTCATTAATCACCAAATCAGACAACTTTGTACTGAATAAAAAACTGACTAGGATCAGAAAGTGTCTAACAACTGTCAAAATCAAAGAATAACATAGTGATGTGCCTAACACACTTGAAGGACTTCCAAAAAATTAGGTAAAGACAAAGGGCCAAAATTAATAGTCATTCTTTAAAAATCTCATCATGGACTGCAGGGAGCTGACTCAGTATGTAAAGTGCTTGCCACATAAGCTTGATGAAGTAAGTTTGATCTCTAGAACAAATAAAAAGGTAAAAAGAGAGAACAGAGAAAAACATTGTTCCCCTGACAATTGTGACATGCACACACTCATGTACATACACATTATACACAAAATAATATTTAAAAAAAATCAGGCCATCAACATTTGAAGCCTGATACTTAATGGCCTGGGACATAGTGTACACACATCATCAAACTAATCCCTAAGGTAAGCACTCATAAACAAATTAAAATATTCAACTTCAGTCTCAAAGAAATGACATGAACTACAGCAGTACACCAGGTAAGGACACTGATCTGAGAAAAATCACAGTTGGCCAGGCCTTGACTTCCCCAGATGACTTCTCCACAAGACCAATGGAAAGCTACTGCCTTTGTGACCATCACCTCCAGATCAGTCCAGCTTTCCATCCAGACAGCCAATAGGTGGTTCCAAAAGAAACTGGTTTCACTTTCATGAGGCAGAAATCCATTGTTCTAAATGGGATGCCATGACTTGGAGTCCTGAGACAGGTTTCTTTCACATAACTGGGAGATCTGTCATACCTACACCTACCTTTTCATTGACACCACACATACTTGGGACCTATGAAGGATCTTACACCCTCCATATGCTGACATGGGGGATGGACTCAAAATTTGTAAAAATTTGAACCTCAGATCTTCTCATGGGCAGATGGTACCATGTCTATTCCTACCAGAGTATGACACTCAAAAGAAATGATTCTATCAAAGCCTCATTTAGTAAATGTACTGTACTTATAGAACATTTTTCTGTACTGTACATACATAAGAATGGGTTAGGGGTTACTTACAGGACCATGACTGACAGAAAGACAGCTGTAACTTTGAAAAACCCCCTTACCATGTGTAATGCCTCACAAAAGCTCCATCTAGAAAGGTTCCTGAACAACTACTGGGGAACATCAAGGCCAGAGAGTCAGAATCTTCAGTATTTGTTAGTGTTTATATGTTAATCTTTATATGTATATATTATGTTGATGAGAGGCATTGTGAATATTGTTTCAATAGATTACTGAGCCTCCTAAGTCACCTCTGGTGACATCTAACACCAAGGGGCAAAGGAGTAATAGGGAAAACTCTTCTTTAGCTCATCCTAAAAGCAATCTACTGACTCAATGCAATCCCTACATCATTACAACAAATTTATTACAGAAATTGAAAAAAACAATCTCAAATTTCATTGGGAAGCACAAAAAAAAAAACCCCAGGATAGCCAAAACAATTCAACAATAAAAGAACTCTTAGAGACATTACCATCCCTAATTTCAAATAATACAGCAAAGCTATAGTAATAAAACCAGATGGCACTAGCATAAAAACACACATTACTCAATGGCATAGAAGTGAGGACCCAGGTTTGAGACCACATAGTTACAATAACTTGATTTTTGACAAAGGGGCCTGAAAAACACACTGAAGGAAAAACAGCATTTTTAAGAACTGTCAAACTGGATTGCTACTTACAGAAGAATGAAACTAGATTCCTACTTCTCATTAGGCACACATTTAATTCCAAATGGATCAAGAACTTGAACATAAGATCCGTTACACTGACTCTT